GGGGGGGGGGGTAGCTTAACCTCTCTGCTCTTCTGTTTGCTTTTCTATAATACACATGAGCATTGTTAGGTAAAATTACTCATTTACCTAAAGTTTGACATGTGTGCAAGATACTGTGCTAGGAATAGGTTATTTTAGCATATAAATTAATACCAGTTCTGCAAAGAGTGTTATGGGAGTTTGGGGTGAAGCATATGAGAGAGAAGTAGGCAATCAGTGAAGACTCCATAGAGCAAGAAGCATCTGTGCTGGACTTCCAGCAGTGGGCAGGATTTTAATAGGAAGCGATGAAAGGAGCACCTGCAGGGGGCCACAGTCCGAGCAAGGACCCCAAGCACAGAGAGCATGTTCTTCTAAGTAGGGGACTTGCAAGATCTACCTTGGGCCAGATTTATGGAGGCTGTTGAGAAGGCCATGGTGTTTGTAAATTTAAGAATTCACCCATATCTAATATGCTAAATAGCATTCATTCTAAGTGAATATTTATTGAATTTCTGTAGTATCTGAAGCTCTGAGCTTTCTGATATGGTGCTTAGAAGTGGTCCCCCTTCTCTTTCCACAGCTTTGCTTTCATTATCCACGTGTTAGGAGCCCAGACAGAACATAAATCCCAATGAATGTTTTAGTAGTTTCCTAAGGATGTTGGAATAAATTACCACGAACTTGGTGGCTTACCACAACAGAAATTTATTCTCTCACAGTTCTGGAGGCCAGAAGTCTGCAGTACACACGCCTCTGGAGGCCCTGGGGAGAATCTCCTCCTCGCCTCTGACTAAACAGTTTCTGGTAGCTGGTGGTGTCCTTGGCTTCTGGCCACATCACTCCAACCTCTCTCTTATCTTCATGTCACTTCCTCTCCCGTGTGTTTATTTTTCCTCTTCTGTGTGGGAAATGTTATCTCCTAAGGACAGCTGTGATGTCACCCAGCTAATCCAGAGTTATCTCTTGCAGAATCTGTAATCACATCTGTGAGACCTTTTTCCAACTAAGGCAACATTTATAAGTTCCAGGGACTTGCTATCTTTGTGTGACCATTCAGTCTACCACCGAAATCACAGATGGTGATAAGTTTTATCTCTTGACTGTATTATCCTCAGCTGTACTCAGGAGGCAACAGCAATACCAACGGTAAAGCCAGTGCTAGTCAGGAGCAAGGCATGATGTGTGCACTCATTCACTCAAGCACGTCAGGACTGACTAGGCCAGTTACTGGAGAGCAAGATAAATAAAGATCTCCAGGACAGCCAGATGAGAGCTGGGATGGGCACAAGCACAGAGGGCGATGAGAGCAAATAAGAGGCACACCGATCCCAGCCACGGTTGCACAGGGGAGGCTATTAGAGGAGGCGAGATTGAATCTGGTCCTGAGGAATAAACAGGAATGCACCACGAAGCGGGGAAAGAATGTTCCAGACAGAGAAACTACCCATGCAAATGCCTAGGAGGTCTTGGTGAGAGATTGCAATAGGGTTAGAAGTGAGTCGATGGACTCAGAGGCTGTTGAGAAGGTGGGCCTGGCGGGGTTGGTGATGCCTGGGCCCTACCAGAGGATGAGGGAGGGTGGGTCGGGGGGAGTCCCGTCTGCTCTGCGCAGCCAGGCTCAGGCAGTGAGACAGGATGCGGGAGGAAAGGGCTGTTTTATGGGGCTGGGAAGTGTGGAGACGGGATGATTGGTTTGGTTTGGGAGAGTTGTTTGTCCCCTAATCTCCCTCCCTCCCCTCTTCCCTCTGGCTGCTCCCCCTCCGTTTGTCTCTCTATCTGTCTCTATCTCCCTTATTTTTTGTAGTTAAAAACCACCGGGGCCAAAGATAAGGCTGTATCCCTTGCCAGGTTAGCAGTTTTCTTTGTCATTTACTCTCAAGCAGAACCTCGGAACACAGCCAGGAAATGATTCATATGTAAATTATTTGGAGTCAGAACCATGAATCACTTAACATAAATAATGGTCGACGTTGGAGCAAAGTTAAGTCCGGTGCAGTTCAAGACGAAAGTGTGTTTAGACATATTTTCCTGTAAAACGTAATCCAGAGAGTACTTTTACGAATTAGAAGTGAAAATTACCCATGGGTTGAGTGAGAAATGGGAAGATAACATTTGTAAAGATTTTCATTGCATTGCTTTTGTTTTGCTTCTGATGGTGATTAGTTTAAAAAGTGGGTGGTTCCCTCACCGACAGCTCCACCGGCAGGCGCAGTCGGAGGTTGGGGACAAAGGCTAACAGCTCCCACACCCCAGCGACACTGCTGTGCGCCTAGAATACTAGCCGCTGTCCCGCAGGATATAGCGAGCTGAGATGATAAGTAATTGCAGAGAAAAGACTCCCGCACTATTTGAAACGTAACACTGCTGGTGGTCCCGGGGCAAGTTCTCCAGTGCATCCCAGAAGACTCTATGTTGTGCCTTTTATTGGAAAAGATAACTTTGGGGAGGTGTAGTCTCCTTAGGTGGTAGACATCTTATTTTAGCTCCAATTTGAGAGAGTTGTGAGGTCCTGGGGATGGGGATTATTTTACAGACGTCACTCTAAATTAGCATCACAAACATGCAGATTTACAGACTCTTCCAACTTTGGCAGAAAAGGGGAGGAGGGAGAACTGAAGCGACGCATCCATTTAGCTTTTTCACAAAAGGCCTCTTTTTCTACGGTTGTAGTGACTACTGTGGTCCTGGCTTCAGAGAGAGTGAAATAAGTTCGTTTGCTCACCTTTATATGTTCACAAAAGTAGAGCTCTCTCTGCTCTTCAGTGCTGGGCACAGAGGATGCAGAGGCTTGGAAGTAAGCATGCAGTTGTGGGGTGAGTCTCTGTGGCCTCGAGGGGCTGGCGGCAGGGCTGCGCCCCTGGGGAGGGACCAGGGGGCTGCCTGCTGCTCCTGAGGCTGAGGCTCCGTAACTCAGTTATAGGGCTTGGAGACAGGTAGGCGGCCCTGTCCCCAGCCTCCCAGGCGTGGTGTGTTAGGGTCTAAGAACTTTTCTTTTTCAGATTTGTAGGTCTTTTCGAGGAATTAAGTACAGTGTTGCAGCTATCATTTTCATTGTGGAAAATTCCGCCTTGATTTTTACCAAAGCAGGCCCCTTTGAAAGGTGATGTGCAGCACAAAAAATGTGGCCTTGGATGTCAGAAACCGTAGATTTTTACTCTGCCTCCAAGCGCTGTCCTAAGGATGAAGTGTTAGGATGTTACACAAGTACCCTGCACAGCGATGGACACATAGTGACCAGATTCCTGGTCAGTGTTGGTTCTTCCCTCTCCCTTACCTCTGATTAGCAGTGCACTGTCCTTTGCCAGCGTTTGTTGAGTGACTACTTGGACAAGTACAGTGCATTCAACGCTCAAGAAACACAGCCCACCCTGTGCAGGAACTTGCAACAGATTTCTCTGCTTGTTATTTAATGTTATTGTTTATACTTCCAACTATTGTCAAAAAGCATTTGAGATGGCTTACAGTAAAAACACAGGTACATGTGGATGCGTGAAGATAAGAGAGGAACCACCATAAATAGTATCCTGAGCTAGAGATAAGATAATCATGTTCCCACTGCAGTGGAACGCTGAATTTAATTCTGAAATTCATGATAGCAGAGGCAAAGGGGCATATAAGAGACACACACACACACACACACACACACACACACACAGAGGTATATACATATGGGAGTGTTTAGGTGGCAAATGATGTCTCTAGAATGTGTCAGAGGGCAGTTCATTAATTTTACAGAGTTGACCCTAAATTCAAAATAGTTTATTATTGCAGTTAATGCGGATCCACGGATGTGACATTCTTGAGAGGTTTTCACGTCTCATGATACAATAGAGCTACAGTTGTTCAGGACTTGTGGCCGGTGTATGGAAAATAACTCCTTAATGCTGCAAGTAAACATTTTGCTACAGTGCTGGTCCCAACGGCATGACGCACCAGGACTGATAATCGGGTGGTATTTTCAGAGGAGAAGCAAGCAGAGTTAACATGAGAGTCGCGGTCCCCGTGGTACTGTATGTTTCCCGATTTCTGAAATACAGGATGATCAGGAACGTCCTCTGGTGAATGAAATGTTTAATGCCCAAGTCCTGTGCCACAAGCATGCCACGTGTCCTTCCATGCCCAGTGTTTGTTTCAGAGCAAACAAATTAAAACGTGGTTCGAGCTGAAGTTCAGAGCACGGTGCCGGGTGCCTGCACTTTATAGCATCACAGCCTGCGAGGGTGTTGGAGGCCATGAGGAGACAGGAGGGCCCCACTGAGCCCTGCTGAGGGGTGTTTTGAAGGATGCCTGTTTCTTTTGGTTAGTGACAATGGGATGTCCCACTGGCTCGTCCTGCCCCTGTGGGAACCAGCGAGGCCGGGTTTGGTTGTCTCTGCACCAAGGGAGCCGCCTCCTTCAGCATCAGCTCTACGGACTGTGAGGTTCTCCAGGACGCAGGGACAGGGCACAGGGTCCCGAGCCGTCTGACCCACCTCTCTAAACCCTCCGTTCGACAGGAACACCTGATTGAGAATGAAGTGTCCATCCTGCGCCAAGTGAAGCATCCAAATATCATCATGCTGGTGGAGGAGATGGAAACGGCCACCGAGCTCTTCCTGGTGATGGAACTGGTCAAAGTAAGAGGGGGAGAGATCCCAAGAGATTTCATTGGCGCCAAATCCCAAGACTTAACTGTATTCTTTTTTTTTAGAAGACTACTTAGTTTTATTTATTTATTTATTTCTCTATTTATTTATTTAAATATATCTTTATTGATTTCAGAGAGAGGAAAGACGAGGGGGAGAGAGAGAGATAGAAACATCAATGATGAGTCATTGATCGAGCCCGCAACCCGGGCATGTGCCCTGACTGGGAATTGAACCCTGATCGCCTGGATCCTAGGTCGATGCTCAACCGCTGAGCCACGCCCGGCTGGGCCTTAACTGTATTCTTGAAGGTCCTAATCAGAAAAGTGTTTTGCTACCTTGAAACGTTATAATCATTCATTTTAGTGGCATTTTTTAATTTTAATTTTTTAATGTTTTTTTTAATTGATTTCAGAAAGAGGAAGGGAGAGGGAGAGATAGAAACCTCAATGATCGACTGCCTCCCCCTCGCCCCCTACTGGGGGACGCACCCTGGCCAGGAATTGAACCATGACCCCAGGTTCATAGGTCGATGCTCAACCACTGAGCCACACTGGCCGGGCAGCTTTTCTTTCTTTCATCTACTCCAGGCTGATGAACCTTCTTGGTTACCTTCATGGGATTGCCACTGTTGATATTTGGTATGTTCTTTTGCGTCCCTTAGGGTGGAGACCTCTTTGATGCAATTACCTCTTCAACCAAGTACACCGAGCGAGACGGCAGCGCCATGGTTTACAACCTGGCCAACGCCCTCAGGTACCTGCACAGCCTCAGCATCGTGCACAGGGACATCAAGCCGGAGAACCTCTTGGTACGTCACCTCTGCTTCTCCTGTTCCACCTCATGCCTCTCTTCCTTTAAAATGACCATGATTACGTGCAAAGTGACATTTTAGGGTCTGTGCCAGTCCTGCAGTAAGGGACCCAGAGACTCTAAATATCGAAAATCAGTCTGACGCACATCAGTGGCTGCAAAATATTAATGAATTTCTTCAATTGATCTGCATTTCTGCGTTAATATTGTTTACCAGACGTTAGGAAATGTTTTTGCACTTACGTTTTGTTGACGGTGCTGACTGAAGAAAGGTGAGCATGAAAATTATTTTGAGGCAGAGCAGTCTGAAGAATAAATTGGAGACAGAATGAGAACATGAGGGCTCACTTATGTGCTGGGCAGAACTTGGGACATCTGGTCCATTAGCTCAGCTTTACAGATACAGAAATCGAGACCCAGCGGTGCTCATTTTTCTTGCTGGAAAGTCTCATTTGCCCCACTGCTCCACAGAAGGAAATCTTGTCCTGCGGCTCTCAAAGTGCTTCGTAATCTGGGCCCAATTTACCTTTCCAGCCCCTCTCTGTTACCAACCCTTCCCCACCCGTCCAGCCAGGTGGCTGTCACCTTCAAGCCGCATATAACACATCTTCTTGGTGGGCTTAGTAACTAAACAGAGCCTACTGATTGGACCCATTCTTGTATCTACATTGTAAAGGAATTTTGGAGAAGCTGATTGGAGAGTTGGGCATGCACCGTCCCCCCCAAACATGCACAAGACAGTTGGTGTAGCTCCTTCTGCCTTTCAGGGCCGAGCTGTCGTCATCATTACTGTTTGGGAAATGAGGTTACCTCATATCATGTTCCATATCATGTTAATCCCAGCGCAGGTTTCCCTGTACCCTGTAGTTAAGACTTGACTTTATCGGCAGCCTTATGCCTCATCTGCTCATGTCCATATGGGTCTCTGTTTGCACTGCCCTGTCTCCCAGCAGTGTCACAAACACATTGGTCTTGTGAGTTGGAGCCAAAGGCACGTCTGGGGTAGAGTCAGGTGTGGCCACCTCTGGTTTCTGCTGTACTTGCCACAGTGTGCCGATTTTACCGTCTACTTGTCTGTCTCCTACTCTAGATCATAAGTACCACGGGGGACAAAGGTTTGTGTCTCAGTTATCTTAGTATCCCCAGTGCCTTGAAGAGTAGATGTGGAGGAGATGTTTGGAGATTGACTGCTGAAGGTCACTCGGCTAGCGAGCTGCTGGCACATGAGCACAAGTCTTTACAGCCATGTCACGCCTGCACCACCCAAATAATCATTGGAAGGAATGTGCATTGATGGACGGGCTTTGAGGCCATGCTGGGGGCTTCCTGCCCATCCACACTATCTGTTTTCCCCTTTTGGTAACACCATTTGGTGATCTCTGAGCACCCATTTGAAAGTATGTTAGGTTTTTTTCTTATTGTTTTCTGCCTGGAGGGAACTGTTTCATTTCTGTATGTTCCTATTAGGAAAATAAATATCCCTGCTCTGTAAAATCGAAGGTAGTACGGATTCAGTTTTAGGATCTTGAAGGAAGAATGGAGACCAAGTTGCAAACTCTGCCTCAGATGGAAGTGAGGATATGGGGCTCTCTCCTCCAAACAGGACCCTCACCCGATGGCCTTGCAGTGTCTGGCAGGCCCGAGCTCCTCCACCGTCTGCCTCCTCTTGCCCAAGGGCTCCGCAAGCAGAGGTGACTGGACTCTCCCCTAGTGTGGCCAGACACAGATGCTGTGGTGTGAGGACACCGCCTTGATGTCTCCCAGCTGTGCAGGCCCCCCTTACCCCAGTGCTGCAGTTATGTTCTCTGTGGATAAAGGAGCCACAGGTCCCCAAGAACCATTGACTACTGTGGAGCCAGCCCAAACTGCAGCTCTGAGGCCCTGCAGGAAGCTGCCTGAGACATTAGTGAACTTTCCTGCAAACCATGGTGTCCATTCCCAGCTCACCGAGTCCACTCTCACCTCCCATTTCTCCCCTTTTCCACTCACAATTTTTAATGCACATATAGCAGGGTTGGGGAACCTTTTTTCTGCCAAGGGCCATTTGGATATTTATGACATCAGTTGCAGGCCATACAAAACTATTAACTTAAAAATTAGCTATAAAAAAAGCTCCTAGATTTATTGACTTTTGAGTCCCGCCTGTGGTTGCCTTGGCAGAGCCAGACCAAGTGATTTCGTGGGCGGTATACGGCCCGCAGGCTGGACGTTCCCCACCCCTGAGGTACAGTCTGAAAGCTTGCTATACATCAGGGGAAGATACTGTAACGGGAAGTGACATCTTCCACACCGTGTGCCCCAGAATGTCACCAGGACATTGGAATCAAGCTCCTCGTCTGTGTAGCCCGGCCCAGCTGCATGTCCTCCCTGCTCCACCTGCACTAGCTCCCTTGTGCTACCCAGATGGGAGCCGAAGGCAAAAGGTGACAGAACTGATCTCTGGATGAAGCTGATGCGTGAAATAGCAGGGCCGTCGGTTCAGCCTCCGGGCACCCTTAGCTGCAAATATCTATGTAAAATACCTGTCTGCCATTGAAAACCCAGACAAACCACTGAGCAGATTCTAGATTTAGTCGGCAGCTGGGTGCTGGCCGAGGGTGGGAAAGTGCCATTAGGCACTGAAAGTAAATACACAGACTGTCAGCCGCTTCCTGCTCTAGAACCAAACCCAGCGTTTCACACCAGAGCATTCGGACATCTGATTTGCATCCCTTCTCTGGTAGCAGGCCCATAATTTAAACCCTGCCATTGGAGCTGCGTGGGTCGCCGTGTCAGGGTGCACAGCGGTGGCTGTTACCACCGTGAGTTACGGCTTGCGGTGCCCTGTCAGAGTTAACTGTGAGGGACCAGTGATAAATTCCGCTTCCAGGAGTTCCGGGGACGGGGGACGAGGGGCGGGCTGGCTTCTCACATTCGAAGTCCTTCTAAATCATCGCGTGGACGTTTTATTTAGAAAACGTGCAGCATTCGCTGTGTCTGTGGGATCTGCATTCCTCACATTTTTTATTTTTGCATTCTGAGAGCAGCTTTTCACAGGCGGCTCAGCCGGGACTGTGTGAATCAACTCCGGATCCGGATCCACACGCGTGTGCGGCTGCCGTCGGGGCCCTGCCAGGTCCATGACTTGCTTTCCCAAGAGACTTGCTTTCCCAGGACCCTGCCTGGGATGGCAGTGGTGTGGTTTGGAATAATTCTCACTGGGCTATCCACTGGTAACTAGCGTCCTCTGTGCCTCAGTTTTCTCATCTGTGAAATGGAGGCAACAGTTCTCTTCCCAGTGGCCCAGTGGGGTGACGACAGCCCCCCACTTTGGAGAATATTGAAATCTCCAAAGTCCTGCAAGAATGTCAGTTACTGGGGAAAACCAAATTTTCTGCCAGAACAGAAGGCCTGGGGCCCCTATGCACTTACCTCTTCCTCAAAATCACTCTCTTAAAGCAATACCACGTGTGTGCGTGTGTCGGAATCAGTCTCTTAAAGCAGTGTCGTAAATGTGTGTGCGCATATATATAGATTGATAGTCACATATCTTTCCCGCTTTGAAGAGAGTCTCCAGCTGAGATTTGAAATGTACTCAAGTTGTCTTTCACATACTTGCCTCTGTGTCTAGCATCAGGGAGAGACAACTCGGGTAAAATATTATTATTTCAGGCTTGTCTGCCCCCGATGACACTTCCCTTTTGATGTTTGGCCAAGAAGCACCACTTGCTCAGACATAACTCAGCGATTATGGACTGTTCAGTCCCCTTCTATTTCTGCTCCTGCATCTGACTGTGAATTCCTTATAGGGGGTGTGAAAAACGGTACTTCTGGGACTTCTGAGGGTCTGACAACAACCCTTAAATGCCCCTAGGCATCCCTAAATTGAATGTCTAAAATAAACACTATTTTTCAAAAAGGTACCTAAATGAGTGTATTTTAAAGTTATAAAAACAAAATAACAATGACATTAATAAAACTTTGCTTTTTAACTCTCATGATACATTTAGAATTATAATGTTGCTTATAATGTTCTTATCACTGCAACGACGCCGGGCATTTCTTTCTGAAGTCTGGGTTTCGGTAAATGCGTCATAAATTCTAACAGTAATTTCCTGCATCGGAGTGTTCGCGCCGTGTTTACATTAGACATAATGGATGGAGAGGCGTCCGAAGACGGCAGCGGGGCCGAGCGCCTGGTTTCTGTTGCTTGGGGCTAAATCATTAGTAGCTTTGAGTATGGTCCTGCTGGGTCGGCTGACTCAGAATGATGAATATCTGCGAGGGACTCCAAGTCCTCTCGGTCACCCCTGTGAAACTTGACCGTCATAAAGTTGTGCACTGGGCATGTGTATTTAGCACATAAACATGGAGGCAGCTATCAAAATGGGGTGAAAAACAGTCCTTCTCAAACTCATGAGCGCGTCACATGCAAAGGGCCACCCTTTTTGAAATGCCTGTAAAGATTGGGGATCATTAATATGTGGGCGCCCCGAGGTCCCTGATGTTTTTTATTGATGGCTATATAGATCATTTCCCTCTTTAACTATCAGACTAATGGATGATGTTGTTAACGTGCTTATCTTGAAAAAACATAATTTTCTAAATTTTTCACCTCCTCTCATAAGAAGTAATTTAGGTGAAAAATCTGGTTAGTTCATAGTAAAATATGAGGGAAAGCAAACTATAAGCTTAAAGTATAAAAGTAGAGAAAGGCGTTGCATGGGTACAGACTAGGTCTCCGCGGTTACTCTGAAATTCAGCGTTTTCAAAATAGACATCCAGGAGACAAATCGACAAGCAGGTTACAGGTTGCAGCCAAACCTATGTGATGCTCTCAGGTAGCTTCCAGACTTTTGTCCCATAAGGAAAATGTGCATATATATAAAAATTGTCCTAATTATGGAACCAATACGTGTTCATTGGAAAATGCTGAAAAGAAAAAGGGAGCCCAGCCGCTGTGGCTCAGAGGTTGAGTATCGACCTAGGATCCAGGAGATCGGGGTTCGATTCCCGGTCAGGGCACGTGCCCGGGTTGCGGGCTGGATCCCCAGTGAGGGTGTGCAGGAGGCGGCCGATCAATGATTCTCTCATCATTGATGTTTCTCTCTCTCTCCCCTCTCTCTGAAATAAATAAAAACATTTTTTTTAAAAAAAGAAAAAGGGAGAATCCTCAGTGTTAACACCCAGAGATAAACTAAACATTTTGGTGTATTATGTTATGTATATAAAATGTTGACTAGTCCTTTTTATTTTATGTAATATGGTGAATGTGTCCATATGACTAATATTTTTTGAAATGTGCTGATTAGTGACTGTAATATTTTATCCCAGGGATATACCATAACTTACGTTGCTTCCAGTTTTTAAAAACATAAATTCTGAGATTGCTGTCCTTGTATATAACCTTTGAGTCCATCTCTGTTCCCTCAGGGTTGGTTCTTAGAAGTAGATTTACTGGATCAAAGGTTATAAATGATGGTAAGAAGTGTACACGTTGCTGAAATACTATCTAGAAAGGTTGCTTCAGTTTAAGCAAAAACCTTGACATCTCAGTAACATTGTTAGACCTTTTCCAATATGATTGTCTGACCCACCCAGCCAGACCTTCCAGGAGAGGGAAGGAACATTCATGGAGCCCCGATCTGAGCTCGGTCTCATTTCGTCTTCACATCAACCCCATATCATCCCATTTCACAGATGAGGAAATGTGCTCAGAGAGGGTGAGTCACTTTCAAAGGTCACACAGCCAGAAAATGAGGGGAGTGGTTTTTTATTCACGTTCAAGGCTGATTCCAAAGTTCATTTTTTGTCTAAATTTCCAAGGTTTCCTCTCATGTAATGTTTATATTCATCACTGACTCTCCAGAGAACAAGTCCTAATATTATTTTGTAAATGAAACGTGCAGTTCTCTTGGGAAACACTTAGTGCTTTAGTGGCACTTAATAAACACTGTTTCTGAGACTTTCAGGTGCCTCACTCCCTGCAAGCATGTGCAGGTCAGTGTCCTGCTTCCAGGCTTAGAGACCTCTCAGGCCACGTCAGGCCCGCATCCCTAACCGCTGTGTGAGCATGCACACCATACGTGTTCAGTAAACTCCTAGGTAAGGCACTTTTTGACAGAGGTAGAAAATGTCCTTTTCAAATTCCACACAACCATGCAAACATCTCTCAAGAGCAAAATTAGAGCTATAAAGCATCAAAGATAAATCACAGTGTTACTATCACAAGGAGAGATTTCTTTTGAGTTTATTGGTCAGTGTATCAGCGTCATTTCCGCCTAACCTTGGAATCACTGAGTCAAAAAACAGCTTCTGATTATCGGCTGGTTTCTGTTCCAGGTGTGTGAATATCCCGATGGAACCAAGTCTTTGAAGCTGGGGGACTTTGGGCTGGCCACTGTGGTGGAAGGCCCCTTGTACACAGTCTGTGGCACTCCCACTTACGTGGCCCCAGAAATCATCGCTGAAACCGGGTGAGACTGCTGGTGGTCTGGGTTAGCGCCTTACCTCTGGGGAAAGGTACATTTTGCTCCTACTGCTGTGTGTTCACGTGACTGGGAAGGTGGCGGGAGGGAGAGACTGTGACCTGCACCGTAGCTTTGATCTCAGGAGCTTAAGTTTGTGTTTCTAAAAGCCCTGGCCTGGACTTTTGTCCCAAGGCTGGTCTTGGGAACATGGCAGTAGCCCCCAAGATTGTAATGAGGAGGGAGAGAAAAGCAGATGCCGTTGTCCAAATTAATTCCTATTCATGAAATGAACAGTTTGACACCGAAAATACGCTTTTTTCTCACAAAGGCAGGTACCCTGGTAATGGAGTGTTCTGGGGGTAATATTGTTATTTCTCCCCCTTCCACCCACCTTGTTCCCCCAGCTATGGCCTGAAGGTGGACATCTGGGCAGCGGGCGTGATCACGTACATACTTCTCTGTGGATTCCCACCGTTCCGAAGGTCAGTGGCTCTGTGTGACCGTATTTGAATTGTAAACTCTCTCCCTTTGATCAGAAAGCAGCCATTTTACTCCTGGCAGTCAGGACTAGAAACTGGTTAATAAAAATGTCAGAAACTATATAACCTGCCTTTCACTTTCTATCTTAATCTGCAGCCTATTAAATGTATATTCCCTGACCACACTTCTGATGTGGGGCCAGGGCCTTTGCTTTGTGTATGGTCCTCTGAGTTTCTCATGGTCATTCTTCCGTAAAACATCCACCGTCCAGTGTCTACAGTTTCCATTCTCAGTTATTTTCAAGGGGAGTGAGGTGTAAAGATCCTTTGGAAGCAATCCGATGCTTCTAGGAGAACCTTTTTCCAATTTTTAATAGTTGTCTCTCCTACTTAATCTGGGAACAGTTTTTTTACCTCTCATTTTCCAAAGCATTCAACCTCGCTCTTATAGAAACAGAGAACTTATAAAATTCATTTTATGTATTCACATAATACTTAGTAGAGTAGAATTACAAATACTTTCAGCATAAGCGGGCCTGGGAACAAACAGACTGGCTCTTTGGTAACCATGCTCCTCGCCTGCTGGGAGCAGAGGGGCCCCCACGGGGGGTCAGGGTGCGTCACAGAGGGCCCGGGGCATGCTTGTTACTCAGCTGTGAGTGTGCACAGGGTTAGCACAGGGCATGCCTGTTACTCAGCAGTGAGTGTGCACGGGGCTGGCACAGGGCTTTGCCCACAGCACCTCATTTGATCAGTTCTGTCTCCTTCTCTGGAGCAAGTGAATGACTTTAAAGCAGAAGTTCATCTAGTGACACATGATTGATTTTTTCCTAAGCTTTCTTGAGTGCTCTTTTCCTTTTAATCTCTTCTTTTGCTCACTTTACAACTATTTGTTGAATAGCTGCTGTGTGCCAGGCACTATTCTAAGTGTCAGGAAGCAAATGTTGAACACAATATATTCTCCAAGGTCATAGTATTTACAGTGTAGTGTTAGGTCAGTAAGTGAAAAACAGGTTTAGTTCACACATACCCCCCCCCAACATCTTATGAAATATTTCAAACCTTCAGAAAAGTTGAAAGCTTTATACTTTTGGAATTATCGATGTTCAGTTGAGTTGAAGGTTTTCACCGACACTACAGTAGACATAGGAGTGACACAGAGATGTCAGGCTCTCCTTTGGAGAGTCTTACGGCATAAAGGCGCACATCACAAGCATACGGATCAAGAAAACCAGAGCACGAGGCATGTTCACTCAGGGGCTGGGACTCAGACATTTAACTAAAGATTAGGTGAGTGGAACCTTGTCCTTGTGGCGTGGGGTGGGTTTCTACAGGTGGAAAGCTTTCTGTCTGGCCATCAGCATCGTGGTCTTCCATAAAGGTCATTGTCTAGGTGGGTTACACACTGGGATTACGTTTCCTGAATAACAAAGGGCTCCAAAAGTTAGGGCTGTCAGTTCTGTGGATCAACCGGGCGGGTCTTCTAGTCTGGGCCGGCTCAGCGGGGGGTTGATGGTCCAGTGGGGCGTCACTTTCATGCCTGGTAGTTGACTCAGTGTCAGCTGGGATAACAGATATGACCTGGCCGGGTGCCTTTCAGCCTCCAGCGGGCTAGCCCGGGTTTCACGTGATGGCGGATGCAGAATTCCCAAAAGCAGCTAGAGAGAGAGGGCAAGTTCCTCTGCCCGAGCGCTTTTCAAGTCTCCACTTGCTTCACCTTTGTTGACCGATGTCCCACTGGCCAGTTGAAGTCAAATAGCCAAGCCTAGAGTAAGTGCAGGCGAAGGTGAAATATGTGTACTTACGGAGGGAGGGGGCTAATTTGCGGCCACGTTTTCAATCGCTCTGTACTCTGGCTGGTTTCAGTAGTGACCTGTTTGGGGAACGAGTCAAGCGTAGAGGGTAGTGTGTTATGATCGTTGGTGATCTTGGGGCCAGTTATAGCTTAATTCTCCTGCAAGGCGGTGGACCCAAGTTGAGGCCAATTGGAGAAGGGTGTCAGGGAGGGACCAGTTTTGGAGGAATGTGTGCTCACAACTCCCTCTGGTGTTTCCACTTCTCAGTGCAGCCTGGGAGCTTTTTCCTTTTTTTTTTTTTTTTTTTTTTTTTTTTTTTTTAAAAACAAAAGTGAGACTCAGATTAAACAAGTGTGTGTTTGTTGTGACTTGACACCCAGTGGACAGTAGCTTCTTTGTGGAATCTGGAGATAAGTCTGGCTAATCCAAGGCAGTAAAGCTACGCCCTTATACGTTATATTCAGAAGCTGGTCCTACAACTCCAGGTAGCTTGCTTCTGAAATTTACAAAAATGCTTTCCCTCTTTCATATGCTGTGATGAAAGGGAATCCGTACTGTGAAGTGGTAGTTACAGAAGCATTTTCACAGCACAGAGACATCCTGGAGCGATTCCAGAACCTACTATAATATAAACGGCATGGAGAGCAAGTGATGGAAATGGTACTTTAAATAATGATAAAGGGCCATGGTATAAAATAGATTTTCTACATAAATTTGTAGAAAAGTTATAAAAATGGAAGTCCTTCGAACAGGTATTTTGAAACATTTTCTTTGTTTTATACCCAAGATAATTTTAACCCAAAGCTTTTAAATTGGAATTGCTACATGGAACTCACAGTTTCAGCCTCTTTAGCTCTAGGGTCTCTCTCTCATCTTTTTTCAGGCTTTGGTCTTAGCTTAACATGAATTCTTCCTTCAGTCCTTTCAATCCCAGACTCGTTGCTAAGAAGGCTATTGGTGTTCTAGAGGCAACCGACAGTTTAGTTATTGCCCTAAGCATCTCTGTTTTAGGGCTACTGACAAAAAGTAATATTTGCAGGACTACACTGACACTTTTTTGTTTCTCTTAAAAACTGGCACGCCCCACAAATGAAATGCTTGGACATCATTTGTGAAATAGCTTACCCACATTTTCAGGTTACCTTGATTCATCGTTGAAAAGAGAGATGGACGCAAACTCTTTTGTTGTTTTCAAGGTTTTTCTTTTCTTTTTTGTTTTTTAGAGAGAGAGGAAGGGAGAAGGTTAGAGAATCATCAATGAGAGAGAAACATTGATCAGCTGCTTCCTACACGCCCCCTACTGGGGTGGAGCCCACAACCCGGGCATGTGCCCTGACCTGGAATCGAACCCCTGACAATACGAGGTTTTTCTTAATGCACATTTTTAAACATGCACCACCTTGATCCAGGGGCTGTATTATTTTAGGATAAGAAAGTACCCCGAAGCATCTCAGCCAGATTGTGGAGTATAAATGTAATAAACCCAGCGTAGATTCAGAGTGGCTTTTCTTATGTGACTGCTAAGAAGAATAAATTATCTCTAACTTTCTGTTCTTTTATTGAGGGCAGCCTGAGACCCTTGCGGTTCACAGCACGATGCTTTGGGTGAATCCTAATTGCCAGGACATTCCATGGTTTTGTTTGTTGACTCAGGCTGTGTTTCCAAGAACTGGAATGAATGCTGCAGACTCACTTCCAGCTTTTTAGCTGTTTATTAACAAAATAAAAGCCATATGTATTAATGATATAATGCTATGGAAATGTGAAAACACTGCTGGGGAAAATGCAGCAAGCTGGATGTCCCGGCCTCCCTGAGATTGGGGAGGGGGTGGAGATGAGTGGAGTAATAGAGAGGGATGGTTAAAAGGAACGATTCTGGAAATAGGTGATTTATTTTATATCTTCTAATATTGTCTCCTGGGGTCCCCTGGTTTTTTAAAGGTTTTTGTAAAACCTCATTACGTTTTGGGTGTGTCCTTCACTTATTTTTAAGGACAGTTGAGCCGAGTGCAGTGAGTAGGGAAATAAATGAAAAGGAAAGAAAATGTTTAGACATGTAGACAGAAACAGCTTGCCCTGGCCGGTGTGGCTCAGTTGGTGGGGCGTCATCCCATGCACCCAAAGGTTGCCATTTCGATTCTCAGTGGCAGGCGCGTGCAGGAGGCAGCCCATGGATGTCTTGCTCTCACATCGATGTTTTTCTCTCTCCCCTCCTTCCTCTCTCTCTAAAAATCAATAAATAATCTTTAAAAAAAAATAGAAAGAAACAGTTTGTCTACATTCAAAGAAAACCACTTTTCAGGAGAACAGTGGGCACCTTTGCCTTGCCCGGTTTTCGGGCTGACGTTAGCTTCCCCGGGTGCCTCTTGACCCAGACTCCGTGGCCGGCAGGAGCATTCAGCTGGGCTCGGGTAGACGTCCTGGATATTCACAAATCTCACAGGCTCTACTCCTTTTCATAGAACAAGAATGACGCAGCCGCATCATGACGCAGCCCCAGAACTTGTCTTAAGGCACTGTCCTAAACGACCTATTCCTAAGGACACCGCCCTTGTCCTTGCCCCCCTTTGACAGGGCCGGTGGCAGGACCAGGCTCCTACGCCAAGCTGGGTCTCACGCGAGCGCCCTGACCAGCCGGCGGCGGGGTGGTGTTGGGAATCTAAGACAAATGTACACCTGCCGGGTGAGACCTTCTGGGTTTTGATCTTGACTCCAATAGTCCACCCTGAGTTTTCTACTGGGACTTTATCATGACCCTGAAAGATAATGACTTTGCGGGCTCTCTGGCCATCGGCAGGCCCATTGGGGGAGGGGCGCTGTGGCTGTGAGGACCCAGGCTTCTGGGAGGCCGGGACATCCAGCTTGCTGCATTTTCCCCAGCAGTGTTTTCGCATTTCCATAGCACTTTCCATCACAAGTCAAGCCGGCCACCATATTCGTTAGGCTCCAGCCAGGCATGCCAGGGAGCCTTTGAGGGTGGTACAGTTAGGCACGGCCAGGGACTGACGCCCACCTGGGGGCGTGAAGGAGAGCTTGTCTGAATCTGGGCAGTTCCCTTTGATGTCCTCAGATGGGCTCTTTCCCTCAGACTGAGCGTAACTGAAAGTCAGGTTCCAGTGGGGAGCTGATGACTGTTTTATCCAGACTTTGAACTCCGTATGACTTTTCACATGTTGGCCGCTTCCCTGATCTTTGGCTGCCTGATTGGAAAAGTGGGAAGAGGAAAGGCAGGAAGATCCGACTCAGATTCACCGCTTTTCCACTCTCACTGCCACGAGAGATTAGGTGAGGGCAGGCCCTGAGATCGTTTTTTCCTGAAATGAGGATTTATATGATCCATAGATCCCATGTTTTCTTGTCTTTTTTTATTGTGGCAGAACAGACATACCATAAAATTGATCATTTTAACCATTTTAAGTGTACAGGTCAGCGGCGTTCAGTACATTTCGTGTTTTGTGCAGCCGTCGCCACGAGCCGTCTCCGGGCCTCGTCTCCCCCGGCCGAAGCTCCGCACCGCTCAACACATGTCTTGAGTCTTGGTGTGTCTCTCCTCTCTCTCCCCTTCTTTCCCCCTCTGCTTCCTTCTCTCTCTCTGATTCCCAGGCCAATGGAAATGTTCTTGAGCTCAAGTCTAAGAGGAAATGGGCCGTCGCAAAGGCAGTGGAGATAGCCCGAGACGGGACTCCTCTCCCCGCTCTCCCCGTGAACGTTTTGTTGAGAAACTCTGCGGCGACTTTGGCTCTGATTCCATTTCTTTGTCTCTCCCAGTGAGAACAATCTTCAGGAGGATCTCTTCGACCAGATCTTGGCCGGGAAGCTCGAGTTCCCAGCCCCCTACTGGGATAACATCACGGACTCCGCAAAGGTACCCTCCAGGCCCGTTTCTGTGGCGCTCTGTGCCGAGGGTCCCTCACCTCCCGTGGGGCTCTGGGTCTGGAGCTCCGGGTCGGCCTCGACTTTGAGCAGTGGTTCTTCTTACAGTTCATTCCTTAGTATAGTCTCCAAAACCGTTAACCAACTTCCGAAAGCTGGCCTGGCTCCCTTCCCAGGGTGTCTGCCATCCTCCTCTGCTCCTTTAAGCCCCGAACATTTGTTTTCTCATTTATTCAAGAAATATGTATCAGACACCCATCAGAATATGGGAGTGGACCCGTGGGACACACTGAATTGCCAGAAGGAGCAGCGGTGCAGTGTTACCCTGTGGAATGGGATGATGACCGGAACTGTAGGGAGGGAACCCCTCGGTTTATGTAGACTCGGGAGACCCTCCTCCTCTCACGCGCGCCGCCGTGAGGCAGCTCTGTCGGAGGAACTGCCTTGCGGGCACCAGGGCTTGGTGGTCATAGCTCCTCAGTTCACGTGGCTGAGCAGCTGTGTTGGCTGCTCTTTGAAGTCCTTGATGCAAACTCAGATTTCTGTATTTATGCTGGAATTTTACCCGCTTTTGTCTCCTCTATCATCTTCATTTCTTTCCAGGAATTAATCAGTCAGATGCTTCAGGTCAACGTCGAAGCTCGGTGTACTGCGGGACAAATCCTGAGTCACCCCTGGGTGTCAGTAAGTACCCACATTCCCAGGGGACAGGCACCTGTGCCTTCTGTGGCCAACAGCAGGCTTCCTCGCCACGGCTTCTGGGCAGGCATGGTTCAGACCCAAGTCCCACGGCAGGTAGATGTCTGTCCCCTCTGATGAGTGGGTGGAAGGAAGGGAGCTTTCTGGGAGAAGTAGGTTACACCAGGACCCTCAAGTATTCAGTCTGGCTCTGGGAGTGGCCTGGGCAAGTCACTGTCCCTTTCTGGGCCTCAGTTTCCTCCACGACAAGCTGAAGGGTTGGGCTGGGATGCTCACTAAGGACCCTTTCAGCTTTGCCTTCTGTAGTTCTGGGGTCAGGGAGTTTTTAGGATGTGGCCGGAGATGAGCATGTTTCAGACCCCGATCCCTCTGTCTCCGTGGCCCTTTGTCACGGGAGCCCTCCCGATGCTGATACGGGTGGGGAGGTAGGACACAGTCCCTTCCAGAGCTGGGTGGTGGATGTGCCCGGTTGACTAGAGTTCCTTTTGGTCTGGGTAGTGCTTCTGGGTTTGGGGCAAACACTGTGAATGGTGACCTTGGGGAAGTCGGCACCTCCCTCCTTCCCAGAGGCTCTAAGAGTGTGAGGACAGCTTACTGCCCCAGGGCTCTTTCTGACTTGGGGCCCTTGTGCACCTCTGCCGCTTGCACTGTCCCACCTGCCCCAACATCTGGGCTCAGCTCCCTGGATCCTGCTGAGAGAACTGGCTCTTGGACCAAGAGGCTGAGATTCCACATTATTTTATGAGCAATAGTTACTAACAACTAAGTGAATCCTTGATTAAAATAATAGACTGTTCACTAATTTTGATGTTACCACGGGAGGGATCTGCACAAAATCATATGGCATCTGTGCTGCCTCAGAGCCCCAGAGAATGCCCCCCCCGCCCCCCGGGAGACCTGTGCTCCAGACCCGAGGAGCTGAGTGCATGGTGTAGGGTCTTTCTGAAGGCCTGGGGCTGCTGAATAATGGGTCATCGGGGCCCTGATCTCGTGGTGCAGACAGGCCGTCAGGAGGAGATGGAAGTGGCAGCGGGTGGCGTGTGCCTGCTCAGGAGCAAACACGTTGGCCGTGAAAGCGAAAACCTTCACGCTGTCTTTATTTCTCCTGCAGGATGATGCCTCCCAGGAGAATAATATGCAAGCTGAAGTCACAGGTAAACTAAAACAGCACTTTAATAACGCGCTCCCTAAGCAGAACAGCACCACCACCGGGGTCTCCGTGATCATGGTGAGTGGGGCCACCACCCTGCCTGGGAAGCCGCTGTGTCTGGCCTGGCCGCTCAGCCAACACTGGAGCTTTGAAAGGAAATAGCCAAGAGCTTCCCGCACATGGAAGTTGGCACCTTCCATGGTCCTCTTTTCACTCCGATCGGCTTGGCAGGGGAAGCGCATCCAGCTGGCCGCCGCCCAGGCCCCTGGTCCCAGGGCGAGCAGTTGTGCAGATACCCGCAGGCCAGGCTGCTGGGCCCAGGCGCCAGGAGCCCCTGCCCTGTCCTGGGCTCGGTGCCCTCGGGCAGCGGCTCCTGCCTCCACGGCTTTCTCCCCTGCCGAAGGGATTCCCAGCATAAGGAAGTAACGCCCTGCCTGCTCGAGGCTTCCAAAACGGATTATTTGAGGTGCAAATTATTCTTTGGGGCTTAGGATTAGAAACAGCCCAAGTTAAATGCCATTTAAAAAACATCAGTATTTTGTGGCTTTTACAAGCACAGAACAATGCAAAGAAATTGTTTTTTTCAGGGTTGGTAGAATGCTATGAGTAGCGATAACCAATGATCTCTGCAGTTTTTCAGACCTTCCTTCCGTCTTCCAAAATGTTTTCAAGGCAGTTTACCTAGATCCAGAAACACAACAAATTAAATTCAGTGAAAGGGAAATAAGGGCAAAGCAAACAACATTGAGCCAGAGTTGTGGTCAGCACCCCCAGCCAAGCTGTCCAGCCCTGAGCCCTTGCTGTAGTGGGGCCATGCGGCCAGCTCTGCCTGGCGCCCCACCTGCTCACGGAGTCCGGTGCCAAGCAGCCAGCTTTTGGGGCTGGGATCTCCCTTCTGCCCACTCCCCTTATGGGCTCAGGGAGCAGGCGAGGGGTTGCCTCCCCAGAGCCAGGGAGTTGGCTGGGGCATCTTCACAATCAGACTTTCTAGGAAACGGGTGCCTGAGTTGTTAGCGGCTTGGCCACGCCTGGCAGTCTTGGGTCCCAGCAGCACCTGAGCCACCTGGCGGCCTGGCAGCTCCACCGTTCTTGCCGCAGGACAGGCCTCGCACCTTTTGGGGAGGTTTGATTTGCTTCCTGACCAGCTGGACGGAAAGCAGTTGCTTATTCTCCTGCCACACTGTAGTCGAGGGACCTAAGAGAATCCAGATAGAAGTTGGAGGGAAAGCACACTCCCCCCCGTGAAGGCGGAATAGGTCTGTTGAGTCTCCACCACCTCCGTGGCCTCGGCTGCTCTGTCACTGCTCTGTCCCCCAGGGGAGGCTGCGTGCATCGGGCAGCCCTCAGCCGGTCCCTCACCCCCTCACTCCCCCATGCTGGAGAGCTCCTCTCATCCCTCCCCGTCCCCCAGATAGAGCCTGCAAACTGGGTCTTCTGACATGTTTCAGGACTTTGGGGTGCTCTGTGCCAAAATACGGGAGGGCCTCTTGAGTTGTGGTTTTCCTGGCATTTCAGCCGTGTTCCCTGAAAGCCTGAGAAAGTCAGAGTTGTCACAGAATTGCAGCTTAGACGCTTTGAGGAGAAACATCTTTTTCCCAAATTATAATGGAAAGTTTATGTAGACAGAGAGGTAGATGTACTGAGCCACAGAAGAACAGCCTAAAAAGGGCTCTTGGAATTTAGGGGAAAGAGAGACAGAAAATGTGCCTTGGGGAGGGGGTGGGGAAAGTT